TATCAGTGTTAACCATTTGATTTTGATAATGGCACTTTGATTATATAAGAGAATCTCCTTATTTTTAGGAAATATATATTGAAGCATTTAGAAGTAAATGGGCATGACATCTCCAACATCCTTTCAAATAGTTCAAAAATACTAGACATACACACAGAGAATGATGAAGTAAATGAGAAAAAATGTGTACAACCGGTAAACACAGGTAAAGGGTACAAAAGAATTCCTGGTATTACTTTCATAACTTTTCTCTAAGTGTAAAATTGTATCAAAATCAAAAGTTACCCCAAAAAGTTAACCCCTTAAAAGTAAAACAGGGGGAAGGTATAGCTCAGTGGTAGAGTGCATGCCTAGCATGCATGAGGTCCTAGGTTCAATCCCCAGGACCTCCACTAAAATAAATAAATCTAATTACCTGCCCCACCCAATTAAAAAAAAAAGTAAAACATTACTGTAGTGAATATTACCAGTGTACATTATAAAACGGTCTCCATTTTCTACCTAGTGATGGGTGCATTTTACTGTCTATAAATCACGTCTTACGAAACCTAATTGAAAAGCGTGTATAGTTTATAAGATGCATAGGTCAATAAAATGTCATGATGCTTTATTATACTTGCAAAGATTTAGCAAAACTCGTTAGTAACACTGACCTGAAGCTCTGGATGACAATTACATATCTGACTAATAAAGACAGCAGTTATTTTAACAAATACAGCTGATTTCAAATTGGAACAACTTGTTCTTATCAATGTAAACTCAATGAAACCGACTCTGATCAATTTCAACTAGTTCAACCAGGTTTGTATCAAACCAGTTTCACACTGGATCAAACCACTTTGAACGATTCTTCCCAGTTTAAATGGCTTTTGACCAACATAGCAGGGCAGTTAAGTGCCTGGGTTCTGAAATCAGGTAAAGATCCTGCCTGTATCACCTCTTAGCTGTTTATCCTTGAGCAAGTTACTTTACTTTCAAAATCTGTGTCTTCATCTATAAAACGAGGACAACAGCGCTTCTCTCATAGGACTGTTGAAAAAATTAAGTGTCATGAGGTTCGTAAAACTTCAGAATAGAAACTGGCACAAAGTAGGTGCTTAATAAGTACAAACCATTACTATATATTCATTTGAAGTGATCAAATGAAATGCTGCCAGGCTCAAACTGGCTAGACCAGGAATAGAGAAAAAATGACCGACAGTTGATAATGAGGTCTTTTCTAGTCCCGCTTTCTTCCCTGTTAAACACTCATCTCCTGCCCACTCCTGAATTCCTCCAGAATTCCTGACATCGTCTTCCTCCACTTAACATCTTCTGGCTTTAAACTCCTTGCATGAGGATCACACAATTGAAGCCAATTATCCTGAATGCAAATGTTCGGTCCTGGCCCTGTCTCCTACCATGCCAGCAGCCCTTGGAGTTCTCGGGTCCCCTCCTGGCCTAGCACTGAGGCCATGTGCTCAGTGAGTGGTCTTTGAAAAGCTCGGTGGAGTTTCAGGAGCAGGGAGGCCATGATGGCTTTCCTCATATGTGTATCTCAATGGAGTAGAGTGAAAACAAATGACACTAACACTTGTTTATAAAGATGCAGTGTTTTTCAACAATTTTAGGCTTTTTGTTACCAAGAACTCATCTGAGACACCCATTCTGTCCCTCAGGTCTTGCTAACTTAGACACTAAGAGCCAACTCTTTGAGCCCAAGGATTATACCCTCTTTCTGTCCTAGAACAGTCCCCAGACTACTTCCCATTACCATGCACTGTGATTCAAACAGCAGCATCCTCATTTGAAATACTCGTGTTAGCACGTATATTTGACCCTCAAAGTCCATATGGTACAAATTATTTTTTTCTCCCTTTACAGATGAGGAAACTGAAGGTTGAAGAGATCGAAGAATTCCTCCATGGTCATGTGGCAAGTCAGCGGAGGAGCAGGAACTCGGACCTAGGTCTCTCTAACTGGGAATGCTATGCTCTTCCCGTGTAGGGCTCTGCCTCTCCCTTGCTGCCTGTCCGTGCTCTTCCTTTGAGGCACTTTCTGGCTGTGGCAGTTACCACTGACTCTCACACTTGCTCCGCACGAGACTGCTCAATGAACACGGGAACTTCTGCCCAGCTCCTGCCCAGGTCTGTTTACCCTGCCACCATCCTTCGGTGTCCAAGGGCAAGTGGTGCTTGCAGCTCACTTAAAGAAAAAAAGTGGTGATGGCTTCCAGATGAGCTTGTGATTCTAAATTTAACATTCCTTTTGGTACTGAGAATTTCCACTTTCTCCCTTCCACCCTTGGCATTTATGTAATTAGAAAGCATGCAACAGGAGATCGTTTGTCTCAGCACCACTTGGGATAAAGGCTGTTCCAGCCCCATGGAGTACATCCTTGTGGAAAGACTTTGCAGAGTTTATTTGTGCAGGTTCAAAAATAGTCCTTCAAACAATACAACCAGATTGAACCATGACAAGTAAAATGTAATTATGGCTTGGTTACATTTTTAAAAAATGTAAACAGTGAGGTTTGGGAAAACTAAAAGCAAAACTACACAGATATCTTCTTCATTCCCAGTCTCTAGATTTCCTGCAGGCAGGATTTCAAGATTGCATCCTTGGATCTTTTGAAATGGATGACAAAGGATGACACTCAATAAAGGAAACAGCTCAACAGAGTGTGCTCTGAGGCCATTTCTCAGAACAAAAGCATACTTCTGTATAAGGCAAATGTAGCCTGATAAAAACTACCCCAGTGAGTACTGGGGATGCCAAAGTCATTCACCTAAATGAGTTCAAAATACATATTGTTCTGGGCCAAATTATACAGTGTCAAGCTCAGACTGTATGTATTTATATATGTTGGCAGGGCAGGCCACTTTCAGGGCGCCACAGCTTTATCCCAGAATCCTGTGCCCAGTTGGGTTCCCATCACTCTCTCCCCAAACCCATGAATTTCCTTGTATTTGGTTCCAGAAGGGCAGACAAGAAGCAAAGTCGAAGTTTCACAACCCCACAAGGGAACAGGGCCCTGGAGGACTTGAATTTTTAATGAAAGTTAAAGTAGAACAGAATGTATGCCTTTGCCAACAAGCTGGAACTTTCAGAAGGTTGATTTGAGATGGGGGCAGGGAGTAGGGACAAGATCAAGCACTGTGCTTTGGGCCAGTCTCTGCAAAGAGCTACAAGGCAGGAATACAAAGTACTCTGGAGCTAAAGCAAACAGCCCATGCTTCCTTTGGTTGGCCTTTGCCCAGAACTATTCCCTCACAGGCTCAGTTTCCCAAAACACACAAGTGATGTTTCAAAGATGCCAGGCAAAGGGGCCCATCTAAATAAATGCCTAAAACTGATAACTGATGAGATAGAGAAGTCTGATTCCAGTGTCCATTTCTACTCCATATTCTACTGACATATCTAGAGATCTAGTGGGCATGTTGTGTTTTCTCTTTTTGTCTTTTTCGGAAGGGGACCTGTTATTCTTCTCTCTGCCTGAATAAAGATAGGAAAATGACGGGGGGGGGAATAGTAGCTAAAAGCAAATATAGAGAAAACAAGTGTAAGAAGTAAAACAGCTTGTAAAGTTATTTTTCTTTTAATTACATGAGTGTCTTGATTGTGGAATGAAGAGGGCAGAGTGAAAACCAGCCTAGTGGCTCTGGCAAAGCATGGCCATGACTTACAGTCCTGGGCTCAGGCCCATCTTTGGGCTTTAACTGATCCAAAGAGACAAAAAAAAAGCCAAGAGAGCAGAGGCACCTGGACAGTCGGTAGAGCTACTGCTGCCTGTTCTGGCCCAGAGTTTAGCACACCTTTCTGGAAAGGGGAGTGGAATGGAGAATGATGCGGGGGAAATGAGAAGGTGTTTCTACCCTGAATCTACCCATTAGAACACTTGCAAGAACTGTCTGGTCAGTGTTCCAGAATCGGGGTCGGATGCCCAGCCCCACCCTCTGCACCGCTCTTGCGCCCCTGCGTGCGCTGGCTGCACTGACCTGCTTGCAGTTAGTTCCCCAACAGTAAAATGCACTGTCATGATTGTGAGCCTTCACAAAAGCTGCCTTCCTTCTCTTCCTCGTCTGTCTGGAATGTTTAATCAACTTCAAGTCTCAGTCCACGTTACTTACCCCTCTGCCAGGCCACCCTAAGGAGACTAAGCTGCTCCTACTCCTTGCTCTCACTGCACTTTGTCTACACCCCTCCTGAATGTCTGTCTTTCCATCAGACACTAAGCTCCTTGAAGGGGCGTGATGCTCAGTAAACAGTTACAGGATAAAGGGACAGTGGAGTCAAGTTCTGCCCATCTTAATTTTATCATAAAGAGAGAGAAGTAAGTTATGAAAGGCTGAACTCCGGGGTTCTGCACATTTTAAGAAATTGCCACAATATTATATTTTGTCTAGCCTCCCTGGTTCAAGCAAAACCAAAGGAATAAACACAGAGGGGCATGGGCAGTACTCCTCTGGTCCTCAGATTTCAGCTGCTACAAGAAGGTGGAATCAACCCCAAATAGGGCCTTCCGGCCAGTTGTGTAACCATGAACTCTTCCCAGCCCCTGGGACAAATCCCCCTGTGCCAACGCCTGGACGGTGTCAAGCTCCATGAAGTGGGAAACTACAACCCTAATGGAGTAAGCCACCAACAGAGCAAGGTTCCATACCTGCCAAGACAGCCAGTGACCTGACCTCACCGCGGCAGACACAGCTGAGACCTGCCCTACCGGGCCCAACAGTGAGAATAACATGCAGATTTTAAAGAGCTGCTAGAGCAAAGCAAGGATCCTCGAGACATTTGTCATCCTCACCAGACGATGCCGCAGCACTCTCCAAGCTTGGATTTATGAGGTGGAGGTAGTTCTGAAAACTACACATTAAGGGGTGAGTGGGGAGGAATGCACAAGGGCTGTGGTTCCAGGAAGGCTCTCAAGAGAGGCTGGGACCAGGCAGTTACAGCTGCTGGCAATTCAAGTTTACTTTTCCTCATGCTCAGAGACCAAAGGCAAAGAAACGCAGGCGATGCACTGGGCAGCCTATTTTTGTTTAATTTATTTCTTTTAAGACCACCTCCTTGCAATTTCCAGAGAGAATATACAAAACAAGAAACAAACTTGGTTTCAAATACATAAACAGTGTGCTGGAGTTTAAAGCATTACTGATAACATTGTTACAGAAGAATGTCAGCTTACTCCAGGGCACTTCAGTATTCCTGAGGAATAAACATGATTTCTCTTTCCCTCCCACGAGGATGTTCTCGGGTGGAAGTCACGGCTCCTGCTCCTGTAGAGTAAGACACTCAGGTTAGAACTGTGTGGACAGCATTTGGACAACCCTCTCTAACTTGCTGCTGCAGGTCAGAGCCAAGCAACCGACGGGCCCCAAACCTTACCACCCTGTTTGCTTTAAATCTGTCCCAGGAGAGGATGGTATCCATCCCACCCAGGTTCTTAAAAGTGGCTTCCCAATCTTTGTGGGGGAAAATGGAAAATGAGCGGAACAGGGCTAAACAGTCAGTGCCTAGATAAATGTATTCTTAAAACCATCAAAAGGATGGATCCCAGGTGAGTGGAAAGAGCATGGCCTGGACTCAAACAGCCTCCCGATGACGGGAACTTTGGCAAGTTGCTTAACCTCAGTAAAATTCGGTTTTCTCATCTGCTGAATGAAAGTAATAAAACCTCTCTACAAATCTACTGGGAGAGAGGTCTAGAGAAAGAATATAAAGATAAAGCACCTAGGATGGTCCACAGGGCATAGCAGGCACTCAGCAAGCAATTACCATAATATGACTACATCGAAAAAGCCCCAAGTTGGGATTTTGTTCCCCTTTTCAGAGAATGGAGGATGACAACACCAAGGCACAGACTCAAGTTCAGATAAAGTTACAAGGCCATTTTGGAGCAGTACACACAAGGCTGTAAAAAATGTAACAATATTTTCCACAGTAACTCCCAGCCATTAAATATATACGCACAGAATCACCCCTGAGCCATTATCCATGACAACTCAGTTTGGAACAATGAAAACATTTTAAACAATTAAAAGACCTGAAGCTCCTCTCCCAGTTCCTCTCTGTTCTCCAAATTCAGCTGTGGTGCCAAGAGAGCGAAGGCTGTGGAGCAGTGGAAACTGCCTGTCGTCAGCTCCAGTGCCGCGCAGCTGCGCCTCTGCCCGCGCCGTCCCTCTGATGAGCTCACCCCGGCTTTGGCGCAGGGGTGGTTCCTTACCGCGGAGGAGCGGGCAAGCGCCTGCAGGGAGGCCCGCCAGGCTCTCCCGCTGGTCAACTCCCCTGCCCCAGTCCTCTCCCCAGGCACGCGCAAGCTGGTCAGCAGGCAGCTGACAGTCTAGATCCAGTCTAGATCTAAGGTAGAGGCTATCGGGCTGTGGGGGGATATTGTCATTTAAGATTTGGTGACCCTTGTGGCTACAGCTTTTGACCAGAATTGGGACGCTCATTTGTACCCATTTTCTGCTCTACTTGTTATTATGGTAGAACAATGGACGAGTCAATCACCCCTTCTCAATTGGCCTCCACTATAATAACCACCATTTCTATTTATATAGCACCTCACAGCTTAAAAACATTTGCACATTTAACCCTCACAACAACCCTGGAGGTAGAAATTACTACCCTTTTTTATAGATAGAATCTCAGAAGTGAAAAACTCAAGATCAGATAGAAAGCGAGTGATGAACCAGGACTCACATCTGGGTGTCCTGGCTCCGGTGCTCTTTCCACAGGCCCCCTGCCGCTGCCCAGATAACAGTGATTCCAGCTCAAGCGTAACTTAGAAAGTGGATGATTCTGCACTTCCAGGGAATGTGAAGTCCTTCATGAAGGCTGTGTTGCTGTGAAGGTTATGCCTTAGTAGTAATGAGCCTGAGGCCACTAGCATGTCTAGTAAGATACATTCTTTACTTCATTCATTTATTTTACAATTATTTGAATGCCTACTTTGTTCCAGGCCTTGGGGATACAAAAATAAATACCACCTCTGTCCAAAGGCTGCTACACACAAAACCTTCAGGAAATGAGCTACCTCCTTCCTCTTGAGGCATGTGTTACAGTTTTTCATCTAGACTGCATTGTTAAAAATCCACCTGTAGACAAGGAGTTCAGAAGAAACATGTGGGACTTAGTCAAGGACAGGCCCTCTTCAGCAGAAAGCAGGATAATGGTTGAGTCTCAGTCTTTAGGTTGAGCTCGAGTGTGCATGAGATGTTTACAGGGCACTCTGAGACCTCAGACAAAAGTGCTACCTACAGATATTCAGATATTTAACACAAAGCTACTTTATCAGAAATAACAAACTCCAAGACAGGCTCGTCAATTCCCACGAGCTAACGCGAGTGTGTATCCGAATGCACACAGGCATTCTGAGTGCAGGGCAGGGAGAGACTTTAGGCACCAAAGCAGCGTCGACATCACTAAAGGTCCAAAGAGCACTTAGGGTCTCAGTAGTGCCACAATGACACAACAGCTTATTTATTTATGAATTATGTGTACTCGAAAGAATTCTTCAGGGACTCAGGAGAAAACATTTTCTTCTGAAAGAAAGAGAAATATCAATTCTGTACATACTTTGACATATTTTCCATGTAGAAGATACGGAGCCTGGAAATCATGCTGACAGTTGGAGTAGGCCATTCCCAATCCCATTCCAGAACCAAAGGCTAACGGCCACGTTTTTCCTAGTGAGCAGAAAAAGGAAAGTCCCAACAGGGAGCATCAAGGGAAAATAAAGCTTTTGTCAGCTTCAGTACATTCAACATGCATCATACTGATGGCTCTAGTACGCCATTCATTTCTGTCAGCGTTTAATCAACGGCCAGAAAAAGGGAGAGGGGCATCTATTAGGTTCTGAGGCCACTAGGTTTGTGGGACTAATAAGCGGTACAATGATGAAAACAGCAGACACAGTTGAACCTTTTAATTTACCTATATCAGTTTAATCATTTGCTCATTTTAACTAATTTCTTAACCTTATCAGAAGTAATACTACCTTCGGTAAGGTGTTTGAATTTTTAAAATATGAATTTCATCAATATTTACATATTTTGATTCTAGTAAGTCCTGAGGTTTACTTAAGCCAATACCGTAAAAATGATTGTTTCATACCAGCACTATGTGTTAATTATGATTGTCTAGTCATGTGTTCCCCACCAGTTTTTCATGGAAAGAGGTCAAAGTGACCCCTCTGGCTTCTATTTAACATTCAAACTGCAGAAGTTCTTCCACAAAATGAAAGGGACATCGCCTGCCCTTTGCTTAGGAGAATTTTTGGCCAGAAAGCATGTGTATTTCTGCTCTACTTCTTTTTATTACTAGCAGGACTCTCATTTTCAAGTTCCTTTAGAAAAAATTATAATTAATTAGAAATACGTGAGCATGTAGGTCTGGCCAAATGACTCACTAGCATAAAGTACAGGCTTTTAAAATGATATCATATTTAAGATATCAGGCACCCTGACTCAATGCCCAGGGGGCATTCTGGAGGTGCCCAACCCATTCTGACCTCTTTTGAGTCCACATTTTTTGTCTACTCCTTTCACAGTGGCCTACCTAAACCCATAAATGGATGGATTGGCAGCCAGGTAGCCATGCCCTCCAGAAGTGTCCCTGCTATGCGTGTGTATACACTAGGACATTATGCTGAAAAGGAAGTAAGAGTCACACTTACTTTTAAAGAAGGTAAGTGAGAAAACAAGTCCTAATCCAAAACCAGTACCTACAAAGAAGAAGGAAAAACATGTTAAATATCTTAATAACTTGACAAAAATAAAATAAACATCTATAAAACAGACTTTTTTTCATAATTTAGTATAGAGATATGATTTTCTCGTTTCTAACCTTCCTTCTTGTCGTCAGAGGATTTACAGATGTCTTTGGCCTCCCTGCCCTGATAGGGGATAAGAACTTTATTCCCCATTCTGTCTAGACAAGTCTTGGGGGCTGGGGAACACACCCAGAGACAGTTCTTGAGTAGACACTCTCCTCACTGCTTGTGATCAGCCCCCAGCACTGGGGCTCTCCTACCCATCCTCTGTAGGGGTGCCACAGCCAGGACATCAGGGCAACAGCTCCCCTTATCACTTCAGCACTTTGAATGATGGCTACTTTTAGAGGAAGATGGAAAGGAGTGATCTAGAACAATTCCCAAAGGTTGTCACAAGTAAGTCAGAGTGCCCAGACATAGGGGAAGCACTTCCTCAAATGTGGAGATTAAATCCCTCCCCTCATTTCACTCACAGGGCATTTTAAAACACTCTCTTTCAAAATAAAAGAATGAATGCGAGCCTGTTTTAATGATTTGGTAGAAAAAAATTTTAAATACCTAATTTTAAATCAAACTTCACAAGAATCTAAGCTTGGAGTTAAAATAAAAAGGCTAAGTCCTCATTTTGAACAATATTTCTCAAAACCTTGGTCATTCTTTTGCTATGGTCACAATTTTTGCTAATCTACACATCATCTGCACAATTATTTACTTATTTTCTTTAAAAAGAACAATGTATGTATTTAATTATATAAATTCAACCTCAACCTAAATAATAACATTGGTAAAATCACAAATTTGAGTGCTAACTATTGTTCGTAAAGTGTGTTAAAGTGAATGTAGAGCCATTAAAATAAAAATATTTACCTGTGGGGCCAATTTAGGAAAAAAATTATGTCACATTGTGGAGATGTATGTCCCAAACTTCAAGATAAACTTATTTTTCCATTATCAAAAAAGTAAGTTATACATGCCAAGAAAGAGAGCCTAAATCTGATTTTTTTTTCTACTAGACTTGACAGATAATTGTTTTCAGACTTTTCAGAGTATTCTGATGCTCTTCACTAAGTGTCTGCTCCATTGTCCAACAGAGCCCCCGACCAATCTCTTTACAACTAAGTACCACATAAAAGTCCCAATTCTCACTTGCCTTAATGGTTTTCAAATATGTGCTCTTGAAATTCCAAAAGCTTCTTCTCTGCCTAACCATGAATTTAGTTCTCTAAACACAGAGAACTCCGTCTTGAGCAAGCAAGCTAATCCACACCTTTCTGGATTCACCTGTGCAACAAAACAGCTGATGCTGGCCTGATGAAAAGTATTTTTGCTATCACCCAGAATGATTTCTGATAATCCTCTCTTACACTTTATATGTGGCCATGATATGTGTTCTTTCCTATGACTGTATCTTACACAAATATGAATTTTAATTAAAAATCATTACTTTGTCCTGTCCAATAGACCCTGCATTAGGTACTGGGTGCCCAATTTTAAAATGTAATTACTCATATCATCCCAATTTCCATGCAATTTAATAAAATGATGGAACACTAGTCAGTTTAGATGGCATTAGTTAACCTATTCAAGGCTGACATGAGAAGGAAAACGAATGAACATCAGTATTTCCCATGAGTACCCAACATTCTCTCCCTACTCCACCAAAAAAATTATCTGTTAAACCAAACAACACTCTGATATGGTATTCCCCATTTTCCAACTGCAGAAAATAACTTGTTCAAGGGTATCTGTTTATTTAGTGGGAAAACAGTGAACTGGGCCCAAGTCTGCCAAAATCCAAAGCTACTCTACCCACTATGTCCTGATATTGGATTCCATGATAATCTCACCCCTAAACAATCACCACCTCCCCCAGGGGAAATTGGGAGTGTCAAGATTTCTACTGCCAGTGAAGTAAGATACAGCCAAAAACCAAACTGTGCAGCAGCCCAGAACACTAGGCAACCAGGGTAGTAACAAGTCCACACAAGGCCAAAAGGACTTGTTCAGATCCATTCCTGGACTAATCCTACAGCACATGTCACAGACACAAGTCTACCTGGTAGGTGGGACTCGAGAACTGCAGAGAAATGGCACCTATCGCGATTGGTACCCCTTGGCAAGAATCTTCCGTCGCTTGGTTTATAAAATGGTACAAGGTTCAATTTCAAAGCAACTTGCCTCACCCCCGTGCAGCTGGAAGATGAGTAAGACAGTAAATTGGTACTAGAAAATGAGGTAAAGAATTTGGACTGGCTTACAGATTTCAAACCAGGCAATGGGATGGGGAGGTAGGCCAGTAAAAACATAATGGCTTACAATCAGAGCTTTTGGTCTTCTCCATCTGGAAGGCAATTTTTTGGCAAACAAATCAAAAGCCTAAAAGGAAAATATTTCAGCATTTTTCTTGTCCCTCTGACTCCATGCCTGTCTCTCCTATTTTCCCCCAAGGAAAAAAAAGCTCTCTGAAGCTCAACTTTTCCTAATAGCAGACCAAGAATGATGCTAAGCCCACTGCTACCAGTATCACTCAGCCACAGAGATGAGAAATGCTTCAACATTAATCAGTGTAGAGTAGACACTCTTTAATCTCTAGACTTCATTTCAGTTCAGGTATATGCCCAATCACCCAGCTCTACTCCTAGTAAAGGCATTCATCTGCAAGTATAAATGTGAGATTAAAATCACAGTTCAGACTAGCCCAAAGACAGAGTGTGCTCTATGATTTTAGTTAAACTGGGCTGCTACATTCTCAATTCTTACAAGTGATTTTTTCTCTCCATTTCTATATTTTTAAGACACAAAATAACAAGGCTGTTCTCTTCAGAAAAAATAATATGGAAAATGATTTTTAAATGCCAGTGTTTTACTTCAAGTTAACTATCTCAGTTATTGAAGAGATAAACAATGGTAGAACTGCTGATGAGTTTTACAGGTTCAAGTTCTCACATGCTCAGTTTTCTTTTAAAAGGCTACATGTTGCTTCAAAGAAAGTCCCACCTGATCAGGGGACACCAACTCTGCAGCTGTTTCCACTGAAGACTGGCACCTCTAGGCCAGGTTTAAACTTCATAACAATAAAACTTGAAAGGTTTGTCTTACAATAAAAACAAACTAACATGGAAAAGAAAAGAGTTCTCTCTGCCTTTGGCCACTTTTTTTGTTGTTGTTGTTGAATGACAAGTTTTCTTAGAGGAAAAAAGCCAAAGGAAAAAGTACAAAGCATTTTTCACCTTCCCTGGAAGCAAATATTTAACCATGAATAAAATTTATATAACTCTGCCTCCCCCTTTAAGCCTGTTCTTTTGGCCCATGCTGTCTGGAATGACAAATAACCCTAAAGTAAAGAAATTCCTGACTACAGGTACACATCTTCCTCATGACAAAGTCCAGTTATGGGGGGAGGAAGGGGGAGCAAGGAAAAAAAAAAACACAACAGAGAAGCCTTATGGAATCGACATTAGGCAAGGAGCCCATGCTCTGAAACCATTTCTTTTAGAGAGGAAAAAGAATTGGCACAAATTCTTTCAAAAAGAAATTACTCTAATCAATTTAACGCTGCACTTTAATGCATGCTTAGTGCCCAAAAGGACACCATAAAACTGGCTAGTAGATAAACACATTTTTAGAAAGAAGTAATTCCTTAACAGTTCATCTGATACCATTTTAGTAACAAAAACAACAGTGAACTCACTCCACTACATAACTACATAAAAAAGATCACCTTATCATATGCCCAAATGGATTTTATAACAAATTTAAAAGAATAACAACCAACAGCAGTATACCAGTAAACATCTTTATCTATATACATAATCTGATTGCAGTCCTGGGGTAGAAATGTACTTTGGATGTTAGTCCCTAAACAGAACAAGTTGGAGCAACACATGTTCCTATGGAATCAACTTTGTAGAAGTTGCAATTGCCAAGAAACTTTCAACTAAGGAGGAACAACTCATTGTTGGGAGAGGCATTAAAGAAATCCTCATTAAGTCACTTAGAAAACATTTCTATGAAAGACCGATCATAGGGGAAAAAAGATCACAGACCCATTTTACTTATCAATAATTGATTATGTAACTGAGATCTCATTTCAGCTTATAGTTAACATTTTAAACAAAGCTCTTAAATACATTAACTCCAATGTATAGTTATCAATGCTACATTTTGATCTGCATCTAAAAATTAATTAAAATTGCAAAGCAACTCCATTTTAATTTGCTTATAATAACACATCAAGGTGTATGAATAAAAACTTAAGTACCATATTCAACTGACAGTTAATGAATATGAGAAACTACAGGAATTGTAAGTTTTTAAGATCCTAAAAGCCATGTGCCAAACAACTTTATTCTTACATGTCTAAAAGAAAAGACATAGCTTCCAAAACATTAGAGATTTACTCTCCAGCCCAGTGGAATAGCAAGAGCACGGACAGACGTGGTAAGCGAGGGAGCCCAGCTGAGGCCAGCGCTCGACCCCGTGCCAGCCAGCTCTCTGACCTCAGTCAATTCTCTGGCCCACCTCAACATGCTCATCAATAGAGTGAAAACAATCTTCTAGGGTTGCTGTATTAGGAAAATGTAAGGTATCTAGCAGTGTCTGACACAGACTTCAATAAATGGTACTAAGTTCTGCTACATCTCTAACAAAACTCAAAAGAAGTCAGAAGTGTAATGTAATAGCTAACCCTCTATTAAAATACATCTCCCTAGCTTGCTTAGGATCACACTGTGAGTAAACCACAGCTGAAAATCAGAATCTTTTTTCCCTACTTTTTGCATAGTTGACTATATTTCACTGGCATTAGGAATTGTTTATAGGAATACATCAGGTTTTGATATATATTTTTTTAAATAGTGGATTCTTTCAGTCTCATTGCTGCAACTAGAACATTTTGCTTTATAACATAATAAAGATTTTCCTAGAACTGCCTTGTGTTTAATAAAGCTACA